CTGGTCTGCTCTGCATTGCTTCCGCCCCCTCCCCCACCACCGCCATTACCACCAGAGCCCGCGGCCGGAGGGCCCCGGAGAGGCAGGGGGCGTTGAAGGTGAGCAGGTTCGTTGTCCGCGATGTTGAAGTCGCCGATCGCGACGAAGAGGCGGTGGCGCTCGTCCGACTGCGCCCAGCGTGCCCCGGAGAGCCAGCACTGTCGAATATCATCCAAGCACCTGGGAGGGATGTCGTGGTTGTGAACGTTCAGAATGCGCAGATGTTGGTTAGTGTCGTCGTTGGTGATCGTGAGGGAGGCGACCCTTCCCTCGGCCAGGATCTGGAACTCGAAGGTGGGAAGCAGCTGGGGCGGCAGCGTCGCCTCCGTGGCGTCCGACATCCATGGGATCAGAAACGCGATGCCGCCGACGCCGGGGGCGGAGCCAGGGGCGAAGAAGGCGCGGTATTCGTACGGAAGCTGACGAAGTACCGCTCGTAGTGCAGGCTCCCGGCCATGAACCTCCTGCAGGACGATGAGCATGCGACGCTGCATGAGTTTCACCAGGCGTGCCACCTTCCCTTTCCGCTTATGGGCCCGATGGCACAAGAGCCCGTTAGCGTTCCAAGAAGCAATACGTAGCCCTGCCTCTTCCGAGTCAGCATGGCCCTGGTCGAGGACAGCTCCCAGGGCCTCCAGACTGGGCTAGGAAGAAGACCAGGTCGTGGTGTCCACCTCGTTGGCAGGGGCGGAGGCCACGCGGAAGCGTTCGATGATCTGTTGTCGGTCAGGCTCCGGCACGTGCTGGTGACTATGAGGATCCCAGAAGAGGTTGGAGGGTTCGTGGAAGCCCTGCGGAACCACTTCAATGATGGGCACGGCGTTGCAGCTGACGATCCCCTTAGCCCGAATCGCCGTCCAGTCCCGTCCCTGCCCGAAGGACCCCTGCAAGATGGACAACAGCTTCTTTGTGTGCATCTCCCGGCGAATCTGGCGAGGTGCCTTGTCGGGCCCCATGTGGAGGGGGGCCCTGCGCCCATCAGGAGTACGTACCGTGAAGGCCCTCCAGGCGCCACCAGGAAGCCGAAGAGCCCTCGCCAATGCAATGGCCCGTGTGCCGCCTGAGGCTTCGTCGCCCTTGACACGGATGAAGAAGCGTTTCGTGGGGGCCGCGCCGCCGATGACCTCAACAAACTCGGCAGGGACCTTCGAGTCCTGGATCCACTCCTGGATGGCGTCCCCCACAGCCGTGCCGGAGACCATGCTGGGGGAGTTGGCGGTGAAGCGGAGCTTGTCAGCCTCGCGGTCGTACTCCGCCAATTTGGGCAAGTATGCAGCAGGGAGCGCGCGCTCCGCCATAGCCAAGTTGTTACGGATCTCCGCCACTTGCGCCCGAAGGCGGATGTTCTCCTGCTCGGCCGCGCCCTGTCGTTGGCGTAGTTGGTGCAGCTCGGTGGAGTGCCCATTGATGCGGTCCACGATCGGCTCCATATACGTGGACATGGCGGTGACCATCTCCTGCTGCGCCGCCGCCATGCGCGTCTTGCAGACCTTGTCCATCTCCTCGATCGTCGCCGCCATCTGCCCCTTGACGACCGAGGCCATGTAGTGCTTGAAGTGCGGGGCATGGCCGCTGGCGCCTCCGTTGGGGCCGCTGGCGGGCCCGCCGCCAGCAGGGGCACCGTCGCCGCCACCTGCCGTCGAAGCCGCAGGGCCCGAGCCGAGGTCGCCGTCAGGCGCTGCCCCCGGGGTCGCCTGCGTGGGGAACGTCGCGAAGGCTTCGAGTTCCCGCTGTATCTGGGAGCCGGTGGGGGCCCGTGCTGCTGCCCAAGGGTCCTGTAGCTGGAGGGCGTCGTGCTGGCCGCGGTCAGGGGCCCCCGCCCACTGAGGGAGCGCCGCCAGCCCTGCCGCCGCAGGTGGGCGGTCCCAGCCGCCGCGACGATCTCGTTCGCGCCCTTCGCGTCGAGGGCGGCGATCTCCATCTGCATCATCGCGGGCTCGGGAGCGGCGGGAGCGGACGCGAGAGGCGCGTTCCTCTCCACCGCTGCGGCTGTGACGGGTCCGATCCTCGCCGTCAGAGCCACCGCTGCCAGAAGAATTAGAATCCATCTGGAGGAGGAGGAGGAGGAGGAGGAGGAGGAGGGAGCTACCTTGGAGCTGCGAGCGGGCCTCGGAAACGCTGCCCAGGTGTTTGCGAAACCCTGCCTGGGGAGCCGCCGCCTAGGAGCTTACAGCACGAGCCATGGAAGCGCTGCCTAGGGGCTGCGCAACTGCTCGCGGCGCACGGATTGGGGACGGCTGGGAAACCGCCTGCGGGACAAGCTGCGAACTCCAGCAAGATGCTGCGGAGCAGCCCTGGGAGTGCAGCTGGCTGGCCCAGTTGGCCGGCCTCTCTCCTCAACCCTCTTAGCCAAGAAGCTGTCCAGAAATTCTGCCTCGAAGGCGCACCCGGGAACTGCCAGAAGTCCTAGGAGGTTCCAGGAGAGGTCGCCGAAAAAGCCCTGCTGGCGCTTCGGAATCAAGATGTTCAGCTCTGTCGAAGTGTCAAAGTGCGCCTACCCCGCCCTCCCACATCCAGGCCCTGCCCCCCTCCATGCCCACCCAGGCCCCGCCCTCCCCCCCTCCTCTTCCTCCTCCTCCTCCTCCTCCTCCTCCTCCTCCTCCTCCTTCTGCTCCTCCTCCTCCTCCTCCTCTTCTCCTCCTCCTCCTCCTCTTCCTCCTCCTCCTCCTCCTCCTCCTCCTCCTCCTGCTGCTCCTCCTCCTCCTCCTCCTCCTCCTCCTGATCATTATCCTCCCACTCCTCCTTCTCAACCGCCAACCAAGCAATGAACCAACCAACCAAACAGTCAACCAACCAACCAACCAGGCCACCTCTTGCTCTTCCTCCTGCTGCTGCACGCTGGCCACATGGATGTCCGGCACCGCGGTGCCCGCACCCGTGCGCTCTCCACGCGCAGACCGACACCGATCCGCGCTGGAAATTAGGATGGGCAGCGAGCGGCCAGCCTGGTACCGCACCCGAGCGACGCAGCCCGCCCACCCTTCCCCAGCTACAGCGGAGGCCCGACCACAAGAAACCTTCCGGAAGAAACCCAACCCCGAGACCCCAGGACGTCCACCGATTGTTGATGTGGGAGCGTCACGCTTTCCGTCGCAGAACCATCGAAGCCCAAGAACCCCAGGGCACCCTGGAGGCAAGCAGGGTGTCTCTTGGCAGGGGCCTCCACTGAAAGAGCAGACCCTCCGTGGCCGAGCTCCGACTTCGCGCGCAGAAAAGCCGCCCTCCTGCAGGCTTGCAGGGCAGATGGCTCCGCAAGACCCCAGCCATCCGAGCGCAGCCAGGGGATCGCCGGAGTCGTCGGGCCCCTCCGAGTCAGCGACTGCCGTCTCGGGCAGTTACGGTGCCGCTCTGGGCCTGGTCCCTGCGGCCGATCGATATACACGAAGCTGAGGAGTCCTCGCGCGCAAGATGATCATCGCAATGAGCTGCAGCTGCAAGCACCTAGCCCGCCAAGCATCCGTCACCGGTACATCGCGCGACTGATAATATCGAGTTTAGGCCATCGCCGCCAAGACCATGGCCTGGCAGAGGCTGTAAAGCAATCGCAGCTCAGGCTCTGGAACTACAAGACGCGGCTGGAACGCTTGTAAAAAGAGGAGAGGGAAGATAGGGGAGAGAAGAGAGGAGTGAAAGAGGCAGAGAGAGAGAGAGAACAACAAAAAGAGATAACAAACAAATAAGAGACATCGGGAGAGGAGACATATGGACATAGAAAGAGAGAGAGAGAGAGAGGGAACGAACGAGAGAAGGAGAGACAATGAAAGACAGGGAGATCAGGATGCGACCGCTGCCAACAGCTTTCGCTCGAGCGCCTGATACTACAAGTGGGCATTCTCAGTTGCCGTGCAGATCTCATGGCAGCAAGAAGATGAAGACGCCAACGAGACGCCGGCGTACCGAACCATGACTGCGACCAGCTTTGCCGGAGCAGTGAGGTCGAGCAGGCGTGGCGGCCACGAGGCGCACCACGAAACGTGCAGGGGAGCTGGAGCATGCGCAGCTGGAAGTTCCATGATAGTCGAAGCGGCCGAGGCAGAAAAGGAGAAACACTGATGCTTCTCCTCCTCCTCCTCCTCCTGCTCCTCCTCCTCCTCCTCCTCCTCCTCTTCTCCTCCTCCTCCTCTCCTCCTCCTCCTCCTCCTCCTCCTCCTCCTCCTCCCCCGCCTCCTCTCCCTCCCCACGCAACCCCAGGCGCGTGGGTGGCCTGTTCACTCAGGCACCCTTGGTGCGTGGGTGGTACGCACGCTGGGTGCGCGGGTGCCCCGCGAGCGCACGCACTCTGGGTGCAGTGTACCCATACGAAACACACCTGCACACAGGGAGAGCAGGGGCACACACCTGCGAGCCAAGAAATTCCAAGGGGGGTCCGGGTACAACCAGCGTCGCGCATCACGCAGCTCGTCCTCCTGGCCCTCTCGCGCCACCTCCTGGTGAATGACATTTCTCCAGCCTGGACTGTAAATCGCGGCTACCTTCGCGTCCCTGCAGGTGACCTAGAATGATGGCCTTCGACAACAATGCGCATTTCGTCGTCATTGATGCCTTTCATACCGGATGGGAGCTTTTGGGCGTCTGGGCGCAGCTTGGGGCTCTCTGCTGTGGGCTCTCTGGGAATCTCGGGGCAGGCAGAGCTGCACTACTTTTGCAAAGGGTCCCCAACCACCAGAGCACTGAGCACCGTTTACCCGACCCCCATCCCCGGCAGCGTAGCCTGGGCTCCAAGACAGGGATGCAGGCCGTCCCCTTCGGGCTTCGAGGGGTGTCTCCCCACTTGGGGTGGTAGTTTGGTGGGGGTCTCGAGGGGGATGAGGCTGGGGAGGGGGGTCGGTTAAGCGATGCTGAACTAGCTCTTCGAGGCGGATCTGGCCGTGACCGCCAAGAGCGCCACACCCGGGCGCGGGGCTCCGCCTCTCGATCCCCCACTGCCGCCGACGGGGCGCGGCGGACTCTGGGGGGGGGTCCTTTGCGGAGGCCTCGAAGCCCATGTTCGAGATCGCGAGGAGGAAGTGGTCCCTGGTCACCTTCGGCACCTGGCACGCACGCACGCGGCCGCGCTGCGCTTCCTCCGGGGGACGATCGAGCGAGCCGTCTGGGAGTCCACAGCCGTTCCCCGAGGCTCGAAGTGGAGTGTCGCCAGGACCCTCCGAGTTCTCTGCGGTGGGTATTGCAAAGGAAGGGCCCTGTCTCACCAATTCTGTGCGCTCTGGGGCGCTCCCTAGAGCTTCAAAGGCTTGTCGCATGAACCGTCTCTCGGAATCCCAAGACTTCCAGCGTGCCCCAAGATGGTCCCATGGGGCCGTCCTGGGCCTTTCTCGGGCGCCTATCGGGTCGTTTTGCAAGCCATGGGGGCTTACCCAAAAAGGTCAAAATCAGTGAAACCGTCAAGTCAGTGCTTGACCTTCGCACATTAGCCTACTCAGTCTTTAGAGTGCCCAAGGGGCGGCCCAAGAAGCCCCCAAGATAGCTCTTAGACGGCCCCAAAGCACCCGAGAGGGGCGCAAGAGGCCTCCAAGAAGGGGGAAATGCGAAGGGACCTGTTGTGTCACTCCACCCCAACATGGCCCCCGAGGCCGCCGCCTCCAGGTCCCCCAACGGCGCCAAAAAGGTCGCTGGAGGCCTCAATAAGGTCCTCAGGAGGCACCCAAGGGGCGTCCAAGAAGCTTCCAAGACGCTCCGATGTGGCTTCCAAGGTACATCAAAAAGCCAAAGGGGCCTTCTAAGATATCTCAAGAGGCCTCTAAACCTTTGGCTCAAGACCCAGAAACGATGGCGGGATACGCCGAAGAACACCAGAAAGCAACCGTGCTGCGGTAGCACTGAATGAGCCTGGCCCAGTAAACCAGGCGCACTACACATGCACAAGCACAAGCACGCAGACACGAAACGTCACACGAATCCAAACACACACACACACACTTCCATCCAACGCCGCAGTGTAAAGGCAACCACGGGATCAAGCAGCGGCGGGTCATGCTGAATGCGAGCCTTGTGTGAAAGTGCGAACTAGCCCGCCGCACACTGAAACATGCACACTGTTTACATCCTACGTCGCCGTAGGGTCACTGACGCGTGGTGCGCTAACGAGATGCGTCAGAATAATGGACAAACGAGCTCATGTCGAATGCGCCCGAGTCGAAGGCGTGAATCCCAAGCAGGGGGCAAGCAACGACGAGCGAGATAGCGGAGCCAGCCTGCAGCGGCGCATACAAACATTCTTCTGACGCAGTGGTGAAGCAACCTCGGGTGCAGCGAAAACAGGTCACGCTCTAAGCCTATCGACGCCCTTGTGGGGTGACGTTTGCGGCCGACGGCAAACCCGCCGCCAATCCAGCAGACGAGGCAACCCACAACCAGCGGCGATTGAGGCCCCAAGGAGCCCCGAAGAGGCCCACAAGAAACCTTTCCGAGACCTCCGAGAGTGTTCCTGGAGGCCCAAAGAATCCGAGAGGCCCCCGAAGAGGCGCCGTAGAGGCCCCCAAGAAGCCACCGAAAGGCCCACCAGAAGCCTCCGGGACGCCCCCGAGAGACTTCCACGGGAGGCCCCACGAGCGCCAGGAGAAACCCTGGAGAAGCCCCCCCCGGACACCTCGAAACTCTGGACAAGGGCTCCGCGCGGGGCTGAATCGAAGCTATGGCGGGCCGAGGCAATCGGCCACCGGCCAATCGGCTATGGCGCCCCGGCCGAGGCGCCTCGAGGCGGCTCCTCCCTCCCTGCGTGCCGACAGAGGGCGACCGACGAGGCGAACGACTCCTCCTCATCCTCCTCCTCCTCCTCCTCCTCCTCCTCCTCCTGCTCCTCCTCCTCCTCGCGTGGTCGAGGCAATCGGCCACGCGAGCGGAGCAACGCGCTCGAGCCAGAGCGCGCCTGGAAACGGGCCAACGGGCGGCGGCGGTGCCGAGGCATTTTTTTTCTCCGCGGCCCCGCGCGGTCTCGATTCTAGGCTCCCGGGAGGGGGTCGAGGCCCAAATCAGGGATCGAGTTAAGCAGTGCTTTCCGTTTTCGTTGTTTTCGTCGTGCCTAGTTCTGTCCTCGTTCCACATTTGCTGCAGAACGAAGTCAAAACGAAAACGGTCCACGAATTTGCCAAAACACCGTTTAGCTCGATCCCTGGCCTAAATTTACCCCCTGTTTAACCCCTCACCCCCCCCTCCTCTCTTCAATTCTCCTGGCGGCGGCGGCGGTAGAAGAACGCGCGGTGAGCTGCCCTGTCTGAGCTGACCAGAAGTCGACGCATCATTACACAGCCTGCTGCGAGCACCTCTGTGCAATGCGATTCTCTGGCCACCTGCCACGAGCGCGCCCTTGCAGCGCTGGCGCGATCACTTCCCAGCTTCGCAAAAGCGAGTCTCATGTCAACGCGACTATCATTTCAAGCGTGCCTCTCCACAACGATTCGAGCACGCCGGCGGCTCTGACATCCGACTGCGGCTGTAATCAATTTGCGGCCCTAGCGCCATGCTGCGGCTCAAGCGCCGTCTTCGGTCGCGGAGCCCTTAGACTCCATGGCCCTAGACTCCAGGCGCCTAGACTCGAGGGCCTCAAACATCAGGGCCCTGGACTCCAGGGCCCAAGACTCCAGGGCCCAAGACTCCAGAACCCCGGACTCTTGCGCCCTAGGCTCCAGGGCCTATACTCCACGGCCCTGGATTCCAGAACACCAAACTTGAGAGCTCTTGACTCCGAGCGTCTGCTGCTGCTGCTGCTGCTGCTGCTGCTGCTGCTGCTGCTGCCGCTGCCTCTGCCGCTGCCGCTGCTGCTGCCACTGCTGCTGCTGCTGCTGCTGCTGCTGCTGCTGCTGCTGCTCCAGAACGCCAAACTTGAGGGCTCTGGACTCCGAGCGTCGGGCAGCAGAGCAGGTGCCCACGCGAAAATCAATGAAACAACAAATGGAAAATCGACGAAGCTTGCCTATTGCGGCTGGGCAGCAGTTTAGAGCCCCCTTGGGCTGTCTTGGATGGCCTCGTGGGCCGCATCGGAGCGATGGTGGGCGTGCTGGGGCCGTTTTGGAGCCATGTGGGCATCCTTAAAGACCCTCGTGGCGTGTCTAAGCTGATTTCGGAAGCCACCTGGAGCCCGCTTGGGCGATGTTGGACGCCTCGTCTTGGCGCGCGCTTGGGATGTCTTGGAGCCCTGTTGGGCGCCTCTTGTGCCGTCTCCGCGAGTCGAGCAGCGAAGCAGGCGATCACACGAGAATCCTTGAACAAAAACCATTCATGATGTTCGCCCCTGGAGCCGCTCTCAGGGATAAGCTTGAAGCCCTTTTGGCGCACCTCGGATGCTACCTGAGCCCCGGGGCGTCAGCGGAGCAAGCGACCACACGAGAACGCTTGAGAAAACCCGTGGAACTTCATTGATGCTCGCCCCTGGGACCTATTTCGGGGATCAGCTGGAAGCTTTCTTGGGTCGTCTCGGAGGCCACGTGAGCCGTCTCGAAGGAATTGTCGGCGTACTGGGTTGCACACTGACATGTGTGTGTGTGTGTGTGTTGGTTGCAGTCGGCAGAGAAACCAGTACCAAGGCGGGATACACCCAAAGAAAAGTTACCACGATGTGTGGGAGCCAAGCCGAAAATGTCAGCCCCAGCAGGCACTGCCAGGCGAGAACCAGGCGGGTAAGCGGCGAGCTGCAGACGAAGACCGGAAACGCAGGCCAGGGCGGCCTTGGCGCGGCGCCCATACGTTTTCAAACCTTGTAAGAATTTCACGACTTCCCATGGGCTACGTACAAGAAATTGTGTCTGGAATGATTCAGGATTATGATGTGCAGCAAATATGTTAATTCGCGATATTGACATACCAAAAATGGCGCTCTGACACGATTCCGGATCGTCAACACGCAGCAGTCAGGATGATACACGGCGTTGAAATTCAGAGAACAATGTTTTGGCATGCTTCGGGATCTTCAAACGTTTGTCTTCCAACGAGGCAATTCCCTCAATGGAAATAATCCGTTGTGGGGGCCTACAAAGAGGGAGCTTGGAGGGAGGGCTAATTCCAACATTGTTGATGACTCTTGGATTTACTGGTCCGCCTCCTCCTCCTCCTCCTCCTCCTCCTCCTCCTCCTCCTCCTCTTCCTTCTCCTCCTCCTCCTCCTCCTGCGACCTTCCGTCCTTCCTTCTTCCCTGTCTGACCCATTTCGATTCCTTGTCCCCTCATCCTCCTCCTCCTCCTCCTCCGACTCCGACTCCTACTCCTACTCCTCCTCCCCCTGCACCTCCTCCTCCTGCCTCCATCACCACCATCATCATCATCATCATCATCATCATCATCATCATCATCATCATCATCATCATCATCATCATCATCATCATCATCATCATCATAATCATCATCATCATCATCATCAGCAGCAGCAGCATCAGCATCATCATCAGCATCAGCATCAGCATCAACATCATCATTATCATCGTCATCATCATCATCATCACCGTCGTCGTCATCGTCATCATACATAGTATGGATTCCCTCTCTCTCTCGCGTTCTCTCTCTCTCTCTCTCTCCCGTTACTTCGTGGCCTTTCTTAGACCGTGCCTTGTGGCAATGAGTATGGGGATCCGCATGGTAATTCCCATGGCATACCTGCGTGCCTACTTGCACCGCTGTCTGCGCGCACGCATGCATCATTGCTTTGTTTGCATGCGTGCCTGCATGCTTGAATGCTTGCAAGCTTCCATGCAGGCTCGCTGAACTGATTGGGCGCTCGTGCCCTCGTGCGCTTGCCACCAAGCATGCACGCTCCCGTGCAAGCACCTGCGTTGTGCGCCGCTCGCACCCCTTCCTGCCCGATTGCTCGCCACCCCGCTTGCTTGCCTGCACGCATGCTCACATCGTTCCCTGCCTGCATCCCTCCACGCCTGCCTGCACTTTGCATGCCTGATGGCATGCGGGGTGGGGCAGGGCAGGGCAGGGCAAGACATGGGCCTGGATTTTTTCGATTACACCCTCCCATGCGGCGGTCCTGCTCCTGCTCAGGCCAGCACCCGCCGCAGCCCAGCCCTCGAGCGCCCCGGCAGTAGCGTCATCACGCC